TTTTTTTATGTTTTCCTTTTTTTTTTTTGTTATTATTATTATTTCTTACTCATTCCGGATAATCGAATTTTCTCTGTTGCGTGGAACCTTGTTATGGGATTTTTCTTTTTTTTATCTTCAATGTAGGTCACGGAAACGAATTTCGTTTTCTCTCTCTTTCTCTCTCTCTCTCTCTCTCTCTCTCATTTTTGTCAAAGAGATATTACGTGGTAGGAAATGACGGAACTAAGCTTACGTAAGATCGTTTTCAACTGTATATGTGTATTTAAAAAATGGCAGTGCTAGTAAAATTGTATACTCGGTGTACTCATTCTCTTTTAGTCGGTTTTTACGTAAATGCATGTAAAAACATATTTATATACACGCGAGCACGTGTATATGCACGTGTAATGTGTGTGCGTGTGTGTATGTGTACGCTTCATGTTACGAGAAGAAGAAGAAGAAGAAGAAGAAGAAGAAGAAAGTATACGGGTTAACAACTTTTCGAATTACCAACGAGATAATTCTGTTAAAGAAAAAAAAGAAAATAACGATGATCTATGCTAATAAAGGGAGAGGAGGAGTGGGAGGGAGGGAGGGAGGGGGGGGTACATTTGTTAAGAGGAGATAGAGAAGAGAAAAAAGAAACATTATAGAAGGTTTATTTGAAGAGAATAGAAGAAAGAAAGAAAATATATCGCGTGTACGCGAATCAACCATAATTTGTTTCTTTACCACGTCAAATGAATTTTACGTGAGAATCAACGTTCTCGACTGATGAGCATTGCTCCCCTGATTTTTGTGTGCCTTATATTTTTTGTTTTCTTTCTTTCTTTTAAATTTTGATTTTATTTGGCAACAAATTTTGCCCGCTAATTTGCTTTCTCTCGAAATGGACACGGCAGCCAGCCCCGAGACGAGATTTGCTTAACGAACTGTTCTTTTTTTCTCTCTCTCTCTCTCTCTCTTTTTGTTTATTTATTTTCCTCATTTCTGCAGATATTTATTTGCGTGGATCGGTCAGGTAAACGAGAGGATGGTCAAGAGTGCGCACGCGCGCGCGCGCAATTTTGTGCGTGTATGTGTGATGATTGCAAAAAGAAGAAGAGAAAAAGGAAAATTAATTAAAAATGGAAAAGCACAACAATGTATACGAGAATGTAATAATTAATTAAATTAAATCAATATAAAAATTAATATTAATAAATAAATAAATCGATCACAAAATTATGATAACATCCGTGCAATTTTATTTCGGATGTCATCGATACTTGAACCAAGATAAAAAAAAAGAAAAAAAGAGACAGAGAGAGAGAGAGAGATAGATAGATAGATAGAGTGAGAAGAAAATAAAAATGTTATTTAAGTATCCATAAAAAAATCCATGTTTTCTATTCTTTCTTTCTTCCTTTTTTTTTTTTCTTTTTTATGTTCTTCGTGATTTACGTTTTACACGTTTGTTCTCTTTCATTTTATATCAGAGCTTACAAACACTTATAACGTCGTAATATACATACACATTCGCAATGGAACTTCAAGTTCGCGATGCATGCACACATACACACATACAAACAATTTTCCATCCCTTATTACCCTGTAGAACGCACGCTCGCGCGCACGCGCGTTCGAGTTTCTACCGAGTTTAATCTAATGCGCGCGAAATTTTTTCACGTATTTTATATGTTTCTATCATATGACACGTCATACGTGATTTTATAACATATATATATAAATATATATACATATATATATATATATATATATCTATATATTTATATATATATTTATTTATTTCTCTCTCTCTCGTTCTATCTTTCTTAATTTCTTTCAAACACACATATACATACATACATACATACATACATACATACATACATACATAACACTTGAAACTCTTCTACTTGTCCTCCTTTTTAACCTCCTCGTTTTCGTCATCGTTTTCGTATTCCATTCTCTATCCCTTCATTTAAATTTTCACATTTCTAACTTCGTTTTGTGCGCGTACACGCGTATAACGTTCTGTCTATTTACTTAGAAACTTACGAAACTCGAGAAGAAGAACGGTCGTGAGAACGTAGATCGATCTTTCTTATAATGCGTAAACCAAACTCGACTCTTCCTTCCTTCCTTCCTTCCTTCCTTCCTTCGTTTCTTCCTTCCTTACTTTCCTCTTTCCTTACTTTCTTCCTTCGTACACACAGTATATTCCAAGAGATAAAATGTTATATGTACTTATATAGCACGGAAGGAAACGATGTCTAACAATAAGACAAACTTCGTCGCTATCTTTTCGGCGAATTTATAATGAATCGTGAAACTTCGTTAATGAGTCAACCAAGAAAGAAAATTTATACGCCGGTACGGTGTGTGTGTGTGTGTGTGTGTGTGTGATGATGATCGATCGGATCAATCTTTAGTAATCCATTTTTTTTCTTTCTTATAAACGAACCTTTCCTCATTTTTCTTCTTCTTCTTCATTTAATATTTTTTTTTACAAATATTATACGAGATATTGTTATATAATTAACTTAGGGATTTTTCTTTTCTTTTCTTTTTTTTTTTTTCCTTTGTTTTTTTTTCTTGTAATAATATATAAAAGTAACGTTGTTAAAGAGAGAGAGAGAGAGAGAGATTTAACAAATTTTTGTTTCCCATCGTCCGAGACGTGTATTGTCCGATGATTATTTAAACATTAAAACAAAACGCTGTTTTGTTAAACGTTCGTGTTGTTGGGTTTTTTTTTCTTTTTTCAATCGATTGAAAAAAATTCTCTCTCACTCTCTCTCTTTTAATTGAATTAATTATTTTCTATTTATATTTTGATTTAATCGAAAAATAATTGCGCAGACTGGAAATTAATTGGAAACGATCTCAATCGAACTACCGTAACCGTGTAATGTGCGCGCGCGCGTTTCTATGTTTATGTACCTGTGTGTGTTTTTCTGTCTGTGAATGAGGCTGTGAGGTGCATGCCAGTTTTAAGAATAAGATGGGGAATCTTATTTTTTTATTCCTTTTTTTTACCTTTTTGCTGTTTCTTTTTCTTTTTTTTTTTTATTTATCGACCGAGGAAAAATAATAGCAACGTCGTTTCTCGGTGTAAATTGGGTGGTGGTGGTGTTTTTTCTCATTCTTAAATTCGATAATATATATATATATATATATACATATACATGTAATTGTATATATATATATATATATGAATATATAAAGTCCGATCATCTCAATGCGCACTCTCAACTTCTTTTTATTTTTTTATTTTTTTTTATTTGTTTTCTTTCTTTCTAATCTCGAACTTTTTTTTTTATTCTCTGGTTTATTTTTTTTCCCTCCCCTTCTAATGTACTTTACGTTAAATTTCACATTGCGTGTGGACATTCGAGATAAAGAACGATGATTTAATGAAATAAAAATATTATAATTCTTACTCTCGGTTTTCTATACGTTTAATGTAAAATACGAGAAGGATAAGTTCTGTGTTACAAGTATTAAAACAATGATCGAATATAATAATCTTAAATCGAATGTCCCTCGCACTGATCGTATGGGAGTCCAACGTTATTTTTTTTTTTGTTTTATTTTCTTTATATTATTATTATTATTATTGTTATTATTATTATTATTAATATTATTAATATTATTATTAAGGTTATTTATACAAATCGTTTTCCTTTCTTTCTTTTTATTTTCCACTTTTTTTTTCTTTTTTTTCTTTTTTTTTTTTCCTTCAAGCACGCTCATCAAAGAAAAAATCGTACAATTGGCTCGATGATTCCTTTTTTTCAATCCTTTTTTTTAAAAAATAACTACTTTCACCGTTCAAAAGTTTCATCGCTTTATTCTTTTATTTCTCTCTTTATTTTATATCTTTATTATTATTAATATTATATTAATATATTTTATATATATTTATAATGTGTATATATAATACACGTACATGTTATATGTATACTCGACAGTCTCTGTACATTAGATATTTTAATGTTAAACCACCATTAATATCTATCGTCCAGTTTGAATTCAATTTTTTACCACGTCATCATTCCGGCTGCGATAAACAACGAATATTAACATTATTATCACTACAGCAGAATAACTACATTCGCATAATTTGCCGCCCCGCCCCGCCCCCCCCCTTCTCCTGTTTTCTTTTTTTTTTCATCATTCTTTCTTACCTTCATCCTTTTCTTATTATTTTTCACGGTTTTTCATTTTCCTATTTTTTTCTCTCCCAGAAAAAACGTCTCGAAGTTTCAATAAAAACCGTACTTATGGTTTTATTCTTTTTTTTTTTTTTTTTCTTTGGTAGTATTTACGTCTATAAAAGGTGAAGTTATTGATAGGGGTGGGGGTGGGGAGGGGATGGGAGGTGAGTCGAGGGTGAAGAGGGGTAGTGAATAGTTCTGCGATCGAACGAGTCCCACGCACATATACGTACGTAAATAATAATACATAGATAAAATATCGTGTACGCCATTATTCTCGTTAGGTCGTTTATCGGTCTATTTCTCTTATCAATAAATTTACACCTCTTCCTTATCTTTATCGCTTCTCGTTACGTTTAAATTATTTTTCAAAATAATTTATACATATTTTTCTATGTCACATATTCGTCGAAATTTATTTTCTTTTTGTCATCATACGTCACACGCTGTGTGAATTACTTTTTAAACAATTATTATTATTGAATAATACACATATAATATGTTTCCTCGTTCATACACAAGAGCAAAAATGATTAATTTCATATAAAAAAAACAAAATTTTCATTTTAAATATAAATACACCATGAAAATCATTGTATTAACGATCGGTATATATATTTTGTTAAATACGTAAAAAATAAAAATATATGAATAATGAGAAGATTTTATTATAATTAATTATTAATGCGATAACAATTTTTTTTTGACGATCAATTATAACAACAATAATAATAATAATCTATAAGATTGTTAAATCATTTCGTTTATATTTAAATATTAAATCGATTTCATATATACGATTTGACAAAAATAAATTTAATTAACAAATATGAAAATAAAATAAAAAATCTTAATATAATTTCATTAGAATTTAATTTCACACAGCGAATTTTATCGTTATCATTTGACATACGTTAATGTCTTAGATGGATAATTATTCGTAGTAAGTATATATATATATATACATACATACGAATAAGGATCATTTCCCAATGTGGGATCGTTATTAAGGGATCATTATTATTATTATTATTCGCGAATCGATGGTTTTCTGCAACGAACGTCAAGAGACGACGTGTGTGTCTACGACAAGGAATTATGATCTCGGATAGAGAGATAAGTTGTCTTATGTTAGTCATCATCGTAGTCGTAGTCGTAGTCATAGTCGTAGTCCGAGAATTCGAGATATTCTCTCTCCAAGCTGATTAATTTCGTAGGACCGGTACCGACAGTGGGATTCCTCCTTTGTTCAAGGTTCCTCTATGCTTCCTGCGACTCGACGTCGTCTTAACGCCCATTTCGATGGTCGAGAGAACGACTATGTCAACGACTATGTCGTCGACCCATTTCCAAGGATATAGAAAGACGATAGATGATTGGTGGATAGATCAGAATGAGAGAGAAAGAGAGAGAGATAGAAAGATGGGAAAGAAATAGGTAGATTGGGAGTGATGTTTAATGTTCAAAGAAATAATACGAAATTGTGCCCACGAATAGACTATAAGATATATATGAATAATTGATAAATTGAACACTTTAGATTATTCACAATTTCATTGTACCTCGTTAAATATTATTCTATAAACGAGTTTAAATTATTTCTAAATCAAAATGGAAAACACTTTTATTATAATGAATTACTTTGAATCACGTCATTGAAAATAATATCAATTTGTTCCCATTAATTGACACTACAAGATATTTATACTGATAATAAAACAGTTTTTAAATTGAACACTTTGATATCCGCAATTTCCTTGTTATCATTTTATATATTTCGATCAGCGAGTTCAAATAATCCAAGACTATGTTATGTAAACCCATTCTTATTAAATAACAATCTTTTATCTTTCCGTTTTAACACTTGTACTCACTTTTTGGTATATATATATAAAAAAAGAACAAGAACGATGGAAGCACAGAGTAACGAAATATTTTGGTCATTTTAAATGTTAAAGAATAAGAATTCGATCCCACCATCTTTACCGTCTTTCGTTAATATCATTTGAGCACGATTTAATGATATATTATTTTCAAACGTCCATAGCATCGCCAACGTAACCCTCGTCCGGACTTTCCGGATGATGAGGTGGTTGAAGTTCGTCAGCCCTTGCAGCAGCAGCTGCAGCTGCTTCGCGTGCAGTTTTTCCGAGCAAGGATCTCGGTGACAATGGTGTTGTTTCGCCTCTGTAAGCAGCAGGTGGTGACGGTATGAACGGAACCTCGGGAAAAACTGAGGCAGGTGATACGACCGGTGACACGACTGGTTGTTGAAGTTGTTGTTGAATCGGTTGTTCGACTGGTTGATGAGCTGGATAAGGATAACCTTCGGCAGTATATCTGGCATCGGTTCTTGGTAAAACTGGATCGTAACCTGCCGTAGATCTTGCTAAAAATTCAGCTTCTCTGGAGTATCTGGCCGGTGGTGCTACGGCCGAACCCTCGACCATTCTTGTCCTTAAACGTGGTAAAGTACTTGCCGTGTTATAAGAAATCTTTGGTAATCCAAAGTTCATTGGATATCCATCCTGGTCCAAATAACTCAATTGTGGTATATTAGATGGACGTAAGTCAGGTGGTTGGATTGGGTAACCAGAGTCGTACTCGAGTACGTGCCTTTCGTTTGTCTGATGACGATATAACTGACCATAAGTCACGTCCGTAGTTTCAGGAACTTCGTTTATCAAATCCGGTTCAGTTAGATATTTCGATACCGGACTACCGTAAGATTCTTCCAAATTACCACGTTGTTCTCTTCTCTCCAAAGTAGCCGCTCTGCCTATTTCGCGTTCCGTATAAGAAACGATTTGCTGATGTTCGAAACCAACCAAACTGCCGTTTCCCTTTCTACAATTTGGTAGACTCGTCGTTGTATTTTTCGTTATAGGCATAACCGATTTGTTTTGCGAGACCAACGCTTTTGAATTTCTCTTTCGGTCGCGTCGACGTTTTCTTATGCAAAACACAATACTAAATACCAGACAACCGAGAACGAAGAGAGTTCCTACGAGTGCGCCGGCAGCTATCACTGCTACGTAACCGGAACCAGGATCGTCCGAGGGAGGTTCCGCGGTTACCTTTTCACGGAACAAAACCTTCAGAGTGACGTTTGCTCCAGTTGTACCAGCTGTGTTCTCGGCAACGCAACTGTAAATCCCATCGTCGTTAGCCTCCGCCGAATATACGTATAACGTGCTCGACATATTGGTCGAACCACGTTGCCTGTAGATGTATCTGTAACAGATCAGAAAAAAAGGAACGGACTCGATTGTGATGAACCTCTGTGATCCACCAACCGTAATAATATATAACGTTTTATAAAAGTGTACTATCATTCAATGAAAGAAAATATAATGTCTTACCTTGGATAAGTCAAAAAGTTCATGGTTGAGGAATCATTTTCGTTTTGAAGCTCGCACGGTTCCCCGTTGAACCACCACGTGATCGTAGCAGCCGGTACAGCATGAACGTAACATTGGAACGTTACGTTACTACCCTCGTAAACATCAACGCGTTCTTGTAACTCGATTCGCGGTAAGCAAGCGAGTTCGTTGTCCTTAATAGTTTTAATTTGTCTGTCTCGTAATCGTCCAGGCATATCGCAAGTCGGTTCGGATTCTTGCGGTGCAGCTGGTGATGATTCCTTAAGCCAAGCTTGAAGAATTCTTAAACCGCAATCGCACAACCAAGGATTATTATGTAAAGTCAATCCTCTGAGGCTACCACCGAGCGGTAAAGTATGATTTGGCATATATGTCAATCGATTACCATCGAGACGTAACCATTCGAGGGAACGCAAACCATCGAAGGCACCTTCTTCGATGATCTCCAGTCTGCATTGGCTTAGCTCGAGATTCGTCAGATGCACCAGACGTTGAAAGGCACCTTTTTTGATCTCTTCTATAGGATTACCATTCAACGTCAGTCTCATGAGATTCGGGCAAGAGGAAAAGCTTTCGGTTGGTATCTCGTCGATCAGATTTTCCGTCAGATCCAACTCAACCAGCCCTACCAAACCCTTGAACGCTCTAACGGCAATACCACTGATGTGCGATCTACCAAGATAAAGTCGTTGAAGATTGGTCAGTCCCAGAACATAAAAGCATTCCGGTTGCAAACTGATCAGCTGATTGTCCGACAGATCTAACACCTGAGTCTCCTCTCTCGCACCCTGCGGCAGTCCCTTTAGATCCCGATTCGCACACTCCACCCACTCCTTCCCACCCTTCCACTTACATGTACACATACTTGGGCAACCTTCGACGATACAAGTCCATGCTAGCATCATCGTGCCCAGGAGAGCTCCCCTCCACCTCCAAGCTCTTACGCTTGAGCACATGATGATCCTTCATCGACCATTCACCAATCTCTATTTCCCATTTTTCTTTATCCTTTTCATAAAACTCCCCTAATATCTTCCTAATATTATTTTCTTCTTCTTTTTCCTTCTTTGATTTATTTTTTATCTTTCACTATATCGATTCACTATTGTATTTATAGTGTTTCTGAAATATCAAGTCAATATCGTATTCTTCTTCCTCTTCTTCTTGCAATATTTCTTTTTTATTTCTACAACATATTTCAGGAAAAATCACAAACAATTATCATCCTCTTCTTTTTCTTCTTTTTCTTCTTCTTCTTCTGCTTCTGCTTCTTCTTCTTCTTCTTTTTATCTATCTGAAACAAAGAATAAAATGGAACATTAATATGAATGATATTTATATCAAAAGGAAAAATACCCGAAAACTAGATTATCTAACTTAAGTAAAGTAGATAGTAAAGAAGGTATAAGAACCTTTCTCAGGTTTCTACTAATCGCTAAGGGTTTATCCATGATGTCTCATATATCATTCGGAAAAGCCCTATTCTCTTTCTTTCCCTTTTCGAAGGATACATTTTTTCTTAACATTTTTTCCTTATCTCTTCTTCTTCTTCTACTACTTACCCTCTCATTCTCTCTCTCTCTCTCTCTCTCCTTCTCTCTCTTTATCTGTCTCTTTCTTTCTATCCTTTCTAGAAAGGTGGATCGATTAAGGGATTTTTTCGAAGGCCATGGGAAAGAAAACGCTTTCGTTAAAAAAAGAGTCGTCGTAATCGCACTTTTCGCTAGTAAAAGAAAGAAAGAAAGAGAGAGAGAGAGAGAGAGAGAGAGAGAGAGAGAGAGAAACCTGAAAAGCTGCGTTATACTTATTTTCACACTTACAGTACACGTACACACATAAAGAAAGAAAAAGAAAAAGAAAGAGACAGGGCTTACTTAGAAATCTTTTCGTCTTACGACTATAGTAGAAAGGTGAAAAGAAAGTATTCCGAATACCCCTAGGCAAAAGGTGGTTTCTACGAGCAAAAGGGATAGATGGATAACGATAGAGATGGATACAAAGATAGTGAACGAAGGGTGAAGAAACAGACAAATAAAAAGTAAGAAAGAAAGAAAGAAAGAAAGAAACCTGTGAAAGACTGAAATCCCAAAGAAGAACTCAAAAAAGATAATAAATTCCATAGAGACATGGGGGGGTTAAGGAAGTTGAAATTGGGTGTTGGTGAGGGTGGAAGGGGGGGGGAAGGGGTGTATACGTCTACCATATATATATCTACCAATATATATAAGCAAAAGTTAGAGGAGAAACACTCTCGAAACCGTTCTAGACCCAACCTTCTGCCCCTTCCCCTTCCCCTTCCCCTTTCCATCCCATGATATCAGAATATCGGAATATCGAACGCATGCGGTTCGGCATGCAAACTCCTACGGTTTTTCGTGGCTTTATTCGCACGCCTTTCGAATGAGCTTTTTCTCTTGCCCTCTCCCTCTCTCTCTCTCTCTTTCTTTCTCTCTCTGAAGGAATGCAAAGAGAGGCCTTCGAGGATATTGCTAGCACCCCGAACATTTCAAATCCAATACTCCCTTCCTTTTTCTTTCTCTTTTTTCCGCAACAACCCACGTACCCTTATCAACAACCTTCTCTCTTCAAACTCTCTTTCACTCTCTATCTCTCTCTCTCTCTCTCTCTCTCTATCTCTTCTTTTTTTCTCTTTCTATCTTTCTTTACTTCTTCTTTTTTTTCTCTCTCTCTATCTATCTCAGACCGAAACTTTTTCTTTACGTCCTACGATTTTAATTGAAAAACTCCGAAGAAGTAGGCGAAGAACGCTCTCCTTTTTTTTTCTTTTCTTTTTTTTCAAATCTTTTCCCGTACGGGAGGAAAAACGGAACAACAGAGAACGTCTTCTTATTCGTCTTCTTATACTACTTCTTATTCCTCTACTTCCCCTTATTCTTCTTATTCAAGAAAAAATTTTTTTATTTATTTTCTCTCTTTTA